GATGGGGTTTGAGTGTCCTGCCTTTCGGAAGGAAAGGATGGGCCTGCACCGGCCGGTGCGGTTTGCGAAACGTCGCTCTCTTTGAGGTTGCCGGGTGTTCGTGTGTGGAGGTCAGGCCACCGAGCTGTCGGACGGGAGTTTGTCACGCCGGTTGATTAGTCGCATTCTCGTCCGGGCGGTCACGAGCACGGCTCGATGATCTTGTCCAGGCAGGGTGCGAAACGTCTCCTCAGGCGGGGCTTAGCCTGTTGGCTGGCGGGGGGAGTACCACTGCATGCGAGGCAAGGAAGAAACCTCGGAGACGATTAGTAGCTTTCCGTAGCACGGCTTGGGAAAGGCTGATTCTTATCGGACCGATGGAAGTGAATGCCCGGGCGACTGACTACTGCTCCTAACGGGGTGCGCAGAGTTAATTCCCGGTACCAACGAGGGTATGCAAGAGCGACAAAACGGGATGGGGTATTTTGGGCGAATGGAGAGGGGTAACACCCTGTGCCGGAGCCTGGGTACCGTGCTCGCAACGGTTGAGCTGCGCTTGAGGTATGGGATAAAACTCTACCGATAGTACCAGCGGAGAGACCATATTGGGAAAAAGCCGGTGAGGAGATGACTGACCCGTATGTGAGATTGCCTGATTTTTTTATGTGTTCCCCCTCTGTAAAGATTGATTGAGCTTGGATTGTTGGACGACGCATATTTCTAAGTCTATCCCCCCCCCCCCATCTAAGTCTACACGAGTGAGAGATGATTGGAAGGACGGAGGATAGAGGTCAGTTGGAATGGAACCAAGATAAAGAATGTGGGGAAATGGATGACCGACCAAGGGTATTATGGGAAGGAGGTACTTAGGAATTGGGAGGTAAATTAGGGAGACCTTGATGGGGGGTCTGAAATAATTCTCATCTAAGACGGGGGTTGACCTGACTAGAAGGACCGTTTGGTACTCTCTTATGAAAACAGGGGTTGGGTGCTGGAAACAAGATGGCACGGTGGTTGTCTTCCCCGATCTATACCAGCGGTCCGGAAATGTCAGTAGATGTAAAGGATGGGGTATCGGTCGTCCTCTCGGAAGATGGGACGTGGACAGATCTTGAGCCAGCATACCAAACCGTGATGCTGGAAGAGGAGGACGCGTTCCTTTGGATAGAAACTATATGGATTAATGTCAGCTTGACAAGGTTGTCGCCAAGTTTAATCGATTTGGAGTTTCGAGGGACTGTGGAAGCCCGGGGGTGGGTCTACTTGTCACAAGATGGAGAGAATGCTATGGTTATAAGTTTGGCGCTAGGGAATACGCCGGACGAATTGTTTAAGAAGGCGGGGAGGGAGGTTGTATGGGCTGCGTGTCAGCGGCGGGAAATGGAAATGGAAAGGGTAGATGTGCGGGTGAAACTTGGGGATAGAGGATGCGTAAGGCGGCCCGTCAGAACCCTGCGATGTGTGTTGCCTCCCTTTCTGGTGGATGCGGTCTTCGGAACCCGGAGCAGGCTAATACAGATATGTCAGTCCATGACGACCGTCGGATTATACCAATGCGCCGGGCAGGACTTCTTCCAATTGTCGGTACTACTGGGGCCGTTTGAAGGGAATTGGGCGGAGGAGCTGGCCGAAATATTGAACTGCCTTAGCATAGACAATGTTTTTGTCCCTAGCTCTGTGCATTGGGGGATAGTCTACAGTAATGTGGTAGTAGGGGAGACATTCCTGGAAGGGGTGAAGCAATTGTTCTACAACGAAGAGGACGACCTAAGTGACATGGACGAAGAGGATGAGATAGAGGACTGGGATTTCTAAGGTAGGGACTTACCTAGAGGGACCGAGTGGCCTGGTATTGTGCAGGAAGGGAAAAGATGATTAGAGAGGAAATGATGATGGAATACGCCTTCAAAGGATGGGAACCAAGGCGACTCAAGGGAGGAGTAGAAATGCCTATACCAGCAGAAAACGAATGGAGATGGACCACATGCGACTGGGTCGGGTTTGAGGTTGCCCCGGAACTATCGTATGTATGGATAGAGCGAATTTGGAACCCAATAAGGGAAGAGCAAGGTTGGGACGAGGTAGCAGAAGGCAAAGTGGAATCGGTCGGAATGGTCGTTCTTTCTGAAGACGGGTGGCGCCTATTTTGCACTATGATAGCAATGAAATAGAATCCGATGTGGCTTCTGGGGGATGCAGAGGCGCGAACCCGAAAAGAAGGCAAGAGGTTCGCCAATAAGGGGTGAGACGAAGTTAGTAGCAGAGTTGTGATGGGGGGATGGAAGGAACTCAAGCCTCCCAGCCTGCGAACGACGGCTTGGGTGCCTGAGTTCGTGGCCGAGTGGTTTGGGGGTCTTGTGCACATCGTAGAAGTGGCCGACTCCATGAAAGAAGTACATATAGAGTGTGCCTGGCTGGCTGAGGAATTCTATAAGACCTCGTTAAAATACGGGTCCTTCTACGGTGATAAAGCCTGGGAAATTCTCACCATCCTAAGGATAGATAGGTATGACCGCCTAGAGGTAGACGCGGAGGCTTGGGACGCCATAGTCAGTCGGGAGGCGGCGGCCAGTCCATCCTACGTAGATGATGTTTTTAAACTGTTTGAAGTACTGTGGTTCGATTAAAGGGACCGGAAAATCGAACGCCGCGGGGAGGGCGGAGTATGGAGGGTGCATGTAAACTAGGGTGTAACATAAGGAAGGGGCATGTACATTAGTTTAGCAGGGCATGCGAGGGGATTGAAAACAAGGGAAGACGTCCGACCATTGTTGGCGCAAATGTGGGACGCGTGATAGAAAAGACTGGAGGAGACATAAGCAGGGAGTGAAACAGTAAGAGGATGGGCAGTTGCTGAAGAACAGGCCGTAATCCTTTCTGTGTGGGCTATGCAGGAAATCGTCAAAACAGCGATGGCAACAAGACGTGTTCGAACGGTACGCCAGCCCCGGTACCCCGGACCACCCTGGAATAACGGCAGAAGGTCGGAAGTGTCCCTACCATCAAGTCCCGACTTTCGGGGTTTCGACGTGGAATGGCGGGTCGTGACCTTGGAAAGGGATAGCGCCTTCATGTTGGTGGAGTGTCGGTGGACGGGGATGAGATTCAACCGAGGGCCTGAGGATGATTTGTATTCCAATTTAGAGGTTACTGGGGCCTTGTATCTACCCGAGATCGACTGACACTCACATAGGGTAGGAATATCCCAAGGCCACGAGCTGGCTCCGGTCTTTCGGAGGGCCGCCCGGGTGTTGATGCGGATAGGCCAATCAATCAGAGGTAGGAGGAACGTTGGCTTACTCACCAGGGTGGAAATGGGGGGCTGGAGGGAGTTCAAGGCACCGACAACCCCGCTGAGGTGTTGGGGCCCCCGATTCATGATAGACCTCATCTTCAAGAGCCTCGCAAGGGCGCAGGATCTGGCAGACTCAGCAATAATCTGGGTAGACCACTTCCCCTATCAGACCATCGGGATGTTCTATGACGTTGCTGTGGAGCATGGGCCATTTTGGGGAAACCGGGCCCATGAATTACTGAAAGTTATTAATATCCTGGTATTTGGCTGCCACAGGTAGCTTGGGCGGAATACGAACACATAATCCAGAGGGAAATCGAGATAGGAGAAAGTTATCTAGCGGGGGTGGCTCAACTATTCAAGAAGCCTACCGAACTGGAAGGGCTGCGAGGACGAGAACGGGGCTAGCACCCGGAGGCAGGCCAATAGGGAAAATCAAGTATAGTCCGCTACGTACAGGGGCGCACCGATGGGGATGGGGAAGGACCGTCGGACCGGGCGTTAAAAAACCACTACAGAATAAAGCAAGGGGGGTAGACTCCAAAGGATTGTTATGGCCGGAGGTTGAAAAAAAGAATACTGCTCGTGAAACTTTTCCTAGCGGGACACCCAACCAGGAACCCTACGCGTCGGCCCGACGAAATAGGGGCACTCTAAACGAGCCTGTTATGAAGGGAACTAAGTCATGTCCCTTAGCTCGATAGGGCGGCGGGGTCGGTCGCGGCTCCTTCTTAGGAAAGCAATCGGGAGATGAAAATGGGGAGAAGGCTACTATCCGAATAAAGATAAACCAACGAAACTGGAACCTATGAAACCTAAATGCCTCGCACTGCGTGTATCTTGGGGAACCCTCTGGTTTATGCATAACTAGGCAAAATGGCGATGGAGGATGAGACGGATAATCGTAGGAGCGAGGGAGGACCAGGCTTAGGAGGCAGCGCCATGCAGAGTGAGGAGGGTTAGAAGGACAGAGAATCGATAAATCCGGATGGTACCAAGGGGAACCAGAAGGAAATCTCCTCAAGGGAAAACTCGGGGAAAGCGGGGGGAAGCAAGCAAGGGACCCAAGAGACCAGGGAGGGTAGGAACAAGGACAGGACAAACCCCCGGAATTCAGAGGGAGTTGTGTCCAAGAAAGTGAGAGTCACGGATGCGAGGCGCAAGCTAGCGAAAATAGAAAAAAAGACCGCGGATTTCAAGGCAAGATTGATTGAAGAAATGATGACTAGGAACGAGGAGGACCCCCCGCAGGAGGAACCGCGGGATGGGCGGAAAGTCAGCCAAGGCGGAAGTAGACAAGGGGTTAAGGATAGTGACCGCGGAGGGACGCCAAGCAAGAGGAGGAAGGAAAGAGAGAATTCCTCGGGGATGGAAGCAGAGAAAGCTACGAACCCGCCAGCTATAGATAGCACGGCTAGCCATCTGCCAACTACACCGGCAGTAACACGAGGATGTGAAGGGCTCTGGAGCCTTAGGGAAAGGGTGTTGGGATGGTTCGACCCGGAAGAGACTTCAAAGACTAGGGAGGGACAGAAGACCGACAAGGAAGGGCAGGATACCAATACGGCGGGGGAGGCTAGTAGCTCCGAAGGCAGCCTCAGGAAGATAGTATCGTCCCTCGTGCGGGCACTGAACAAAAACCAAGGCTACCTAGCAGACGCTAAGAAAAAGTTGACGTTTGACGGGGCAAACATCACGAAGTTCCTAATAGATTACGAGAATCTAGCTGTGTTGTTGAAATGGACCGAAGAGGAAAGATGGACCACCTAGGGCAGCACGTGTCATTAAGCCTGGGACGAGACATAATGGCCATCGTAGCCGCGAGTCGATTCTGGAAGGAAACCCGGGATGTGATGATGAGGAAGTACCTGGTCACAGAGAAAATGGCAACGGAGGCCGACTTAGCGGCAGTCCAAAGGAAGAACTTTGCAACGTACAACGACTTTCTACGAGAATTTACCCTGGTAGCACTAAGGATCCCCGGGGTTACGGACCGGATAATGAGTAAGTACTTCCTCAGACAGTTCTCCGAGTTCGACAAGGACAAGATCCTATCGGCTTACGCACAGACGAGCAAGTTTGTAAACACCAGGGATGCTGATTTCAGTACGGTAACGGATCTGGCCGAGAAGACCGTAGTGACCGAGACATTGGCCTTGCTCAAAGAAGGGGAGGTCATAGATCAGACTGGTAGGACAGGGGACAAGGTAAAAAAGGGGATTGAAAGTCTACACGAACCCGTGCACGGAGTCAACAACAAGATTGAAAGGATGGAGAATGCGCTGCTGGTTATGCAGGCGCAAGTATCCCAACCCGCCCTCCTTCCCCAGGAAGCCGTAGTTCCGCCGGGAGTAGCCAACCGAGGATTCGGACGAAGAGAGTCCGCTAACGAGCAATGCAAGTACTGCATCGCGGTGGGACATTTTGTGCGCGCATGTCCTAAGCTCAACCACGATATACTAAAAAGGAGATGTACCAGATCATTGAAGGGGGAGACATTCGGACCGCAGGGAGAACGGGTGAATTGGAACTCGCCAGGGGGAATGCGGCAAGCCATTATCATGCTCAATGGGTTAGAGATAACAGCAGTAGAGGTCGAGGCAGTGGTTGATATCATCTGGGACCAACTCCGGGGCCGCGGGCCGCAGGTCAACTTTATTCTGGAAAGCGACGGGCGCGATAGGGTGAATGCGACCACTCGACTAGGGACGACTGGGAGAAGGATTATCCGTGACATCGTGATGGAGGAGGTTGTTGGAGGCTCCGCGCCCCAGGCAGAGCCCGAGGCCGGGGAGCCCGAGAAAGTTTATGGGAAGCCTAGGGAAGAAGAGCCCACAGACAAGGTCACCGCTGCTAAGAAAAAGTTTAGGTATCAAATCCTGATCTTAACCATGCCTGAGATCGATGATACCCTTAGTAAATTACTAGGAACCATGGTGTCGGTGTCGTTTCAGACCATTATGCAGGTCAGTCGTAGGTTGCTCAAAAGGCTTAGATAAACAACTGTTGACTCGACGACGAGTAGAGATAGACGAAAACCCCGAATCACCGGAAGAGGAAAGGGAGGAGGAAGCTCCGCAAGAAGTCGCTAACCTTCAAAGGAGTCGGGGGGATCTGGAGGATCTAGAGAAGGCCTTTGCGGACATCCGCCTGAGCTTGCCGGACCGAGAAGGTGGCGAGGTCATGAGGGCGCCGCCCGGAACGAAGCTTAGCTTCCATGCATTGCCCGTGGGAAAGTTGAAAATCCAGATCGGGAGTCATCATTGACGCATTAGTAGACGGGGGAGCGGAAATCACTCCCATAAGGAGAGACTTCGCAACGATTTCGGGTTGTACGATAAATAAGGAAGTAACAGGGAGCATCCGGGGAGCCGGTGGTGAAATTTTGTTCGCTGGGTATGTCACGAAATGTGCAGTCAAGGCAGGAATCAGGGAGTCAATCTGGTCATCTCAGCGAATGACCGTAATGGAGGAAATGGACCACGACATAATTCTCGGGAGACCATGGTGCGCCAACGTAGAGATGATAGGAATGCACTTGCACGATGGCACGTACATGGTAGATATAGAGGATCCCGTAAGTTAACTGGCCGTGGGGAGCTTCTTCGACTCCTTGGGACGGGAGGAGACCCTCCGAAGGGGAAGTTAGCCACGTGGTCGCCGTCGTTCGAGGATAGCGCACGAAAGGGGGTCTTTGCGCGGATGGAGGGTATGAAAGAAAGGGTAAAAATTATGATTGAGGGGGCATTCAATAAGAAAGAGTGGATCAAGATGGGCCTGCCCCAGAAGAAAAGAAGGCAGGACGATGAAGTCTCAGGTGTTATGGTGACAGAAAGGGAATCGGAAGTCGAACTCGGAGCCAGCCTGCCCAGACGGAAAGAAGTGCGGAAGGAGGTACCAGAAATCGCACTCGAAATCCCCGACGTACTACAACTTATCAAAGCAATCAGGTATCACAAAGTAGGGGTGGATCCGACGACGCTGGCCAAATTTGAAGGAGAAGTACAAAAAGGGTATTGTCTGAATGAAAAAATAGCCATTATTCAGCTACGGGTCGCAGAGGCAACAAGAGTAATCCCGACCGTTTATTTTTTAGGAGAAAGATCCCGGAAGGAACTGTTCGAAAGTACAAGTCGGTAGAAAAGAAAGCGAAACCGGTTTCGATCCTGCTAGAAACATCAAAGGAAGAAGCTATGGAGAAGGAGGAGGAGGTCCTTCGAGTGATCCGAGAGAGGCGAGCGACGGAAGGGCATCGGATACCGGATGAGGTAGCTAATACAATGAAGATAGGAATAGAGAGATTCCTAACAGAAGAAGAAACCCTCCTGATCAAAAGGACGTGCCAGGAGTTTCATGTGGCATTTGCCTTTAGTGATCACCAAAAGGGGCGGTTAGACGCGAAGCTAATTCCCTCGGTCAGAATCCACACTGTAGAACATGAGTGCTGGAATGACAAGGGGCCGTCCTATGAATTTGGGATAGCAGGGGAAGTAACAGACCTTCTTCGAGCGAAGATGGACTCCTTCGTCACAGAAACTACGGCGTCGCCGTACGCGAACCGGTGGTTCGTCTTTCGAAAACCCAACAAGACGCTGAGATGGATTCAAGACCTACAAAAGTTGAATGCAGTAACCATCTGGGATGCCGGTTCGCTACCTCAAGCTGATTTATTAGCAGAGTCACACGCCGGTCGGAGCATTTACTCCCTGATAGATCTGTACTCGGGGTACGACCAGCTTCCATTGGATGTTCGGGACAAACCGTACACCGCAATGCACAACCACGTAGGACAGCTGCAGATGTTGGTGACCCCTATGGGCTTTACGAACGCAGTAGCGGAAGCACAAAAAAGAATGCTCGCCATAGCCGGGGACATGTTCCCAAGGAAGTGTGAGCCCTACATCGATGATAACCCGATCAAAGGGAATCAAGAGAAGGACGAGACGGAAGTCTAGCCGAGAATCCGAAGATATGTCTGGGACCATCTACAGGACATCGAGGACTTACTCTGTCGGTTCCTGGTATACAACATCACGGTTAGTAGACCAAAGAGTATTCTAGCAGTACCAGAAGTAACCATACTAGGATTCCGCTGTGGCGCATACGGTAGGAAGCCAGATCCGGCGAAGACTGACAAGATATCCCAATGGCCAACACCTCTGCGCACGACAACGGAGGTAAGAGCATTCTTAGGCGTGGTCGGCTTTTGGAGGACTTTCATTAAAAGTTTTGCCAAAATTGCTGAGCCTATCCAGGCCATGATCACAGAAGAAGGGACCATGGATTGGACGGAGGAGCGAGAAGGAGCCATTCAAACCCTCAAGGACATACTGACATTTGAGCAAGTCGCCTTATCCGCACCCTGTTTTAATGATGGAGTGGGACGACCGTTCATCCTAGAAACGAATAGAGGACCCTTGGTCGTAGGAGGCCTACTGATTCAAAGGGATGAAGAAGGAAAGGAGAGACCAATTAGGTTCGAAAATAGGACCCTGAATTCAGCAGAACGGCGATACTCGCAGTTTAAGAAGGAGGTCCTAGCCATTTTGCACTGCCTCAAGACCTTACAGGCCTACCTATTTGGGAGGCGGTTCGTCCAAAGGATCGATCAGACGAATGTCGCAGGGGCCTTAAAGAATTACAGGCCTATAAATCCGACGGTGGGGAGATGGGTAGGATTTATCTGGCAGTTCGATTACAAGATCGAACGAATTGCTGGAATCAGAAACAAGGCGGATGGGCTTAGTCGGGTCTGCATCACTCCTGAAGGGGTGGAGGATGCGGAGCCCACAGAAGCATTCCTTGAATACGAAGGAGGAACTTTTGCGGTGGATAACGAAATGATGGGCGAAGAATGTGCGTCAGGAGAACTGTTGATCCGGACTTTGGAAAAAGGGGCGCCTGCCGTAGTAGCGGAACTCAGAGAAGGACCAATCATCACTCAAGGTCGCAAAGAGGAGAAAGATTCGTGGGGAGCAATAGTAGGACCGAAGGAGGAATTAGTAGTAGTGGCGGTTGAAGGAGGCCGGGAAGCCGTGATGAGCCTAGTAGAATCTTGGGAAAGGAAAGAGTTGCAGTGGATGGTAAACCAGATGCAGGAGAGAAAGGACGAGGACCAGGAAGGGAGGGAGTTTTTCTATGCTCGGATATACGAAGGGATTTTTCGGGAGATTGGGTTGTTGCTGGTAGGAAACAAACAACCCATGGAAATCAGCGTTAAAGCAAGGGAGGAGGTCGAGAGGTACGTCCTAAGGGGTGGCCATCTGTTCAGGAGGGAGGAAGGTGCTATGCCTAGAAGAGTTGTGTGCGGGGGATCTAGGCAGTTGGACGTTATCCAGGCAATGCACGACGGACTAGCAGGAGAACATCGATCGTCCAAAGGAACTCTTACGAAGATAACGCTGCTCTATTATTGGCCAGGCATGGCAGGTATGGTCGCCACGTTCTGCCAGACCTGCCTAATCTGCCAGGAACGGAGCTCGGCACGCGTCTTCGAGCCACTTAGACCAACGCGGGTGCTACGGTCGGGACATCTGGTTCACCTTGACCTTGCGGTCATGCCTGTATCAACAGATGGGTACAAGTATATCCTGGATGCGCGAGACAACTTGAGTGGGTTTGTGGAGGCGGTCGCTCTCAAGAAAAAGACAAGGAGAAGTGTAGCAGATTGGATAAAAGACTTCTACTTGAGGCATCCCTTCATCAGGAGGTTTATAGCGGACAATGGGACAAAATTTGTGAACCAAGAAGTGTTGGGAATGCTGTAGAGGCTCTGCGTACCAATCAAACCCATCGAGCTATATTACCCGGAGGTTAGTGCACCTGTGGAAAGAGGGCACCGGACCTTAAAGAACACGATTGTGAAGCTCGCGACGGACAACCTGGGAAGCTGGCCTAGGTATCTTAAGCAGGTTTCTCAGAGAACATGACACCTAAGAAAACAACGGGATGTAGCCCAGCGGAACTTTGGTACGGAAGAGAGATCCATTTTCCCGTGGAAGCCTTGATACCAACCTGGAACAGGGTAGATGACGATCTGCATATGACCACGGAACAGTTGATTGAGGCAAGATGCCAACAAGTTCTTAGGAACGAGGAAGTCATGGAAGACATCGCTAACGGGTACTAGACACCAGAATGAGGGACAAACCAAGGTCGGACCAGGTTAAGAATGTCGGAAAGGAGCCACTTCAGGTGGGGGAGACGGTATTGCTAAGGAACTCGACACTGGAAAGTACTTGGTCTGGGCAAATGGGGAGGAGGTTCAAAGGCCCCTACCGGGTCGCCAATCGGGTTCACACCTTGTTCCGCCACCACCTCCTTCGCCCATCCACCATAGCAAAGTACCTTCACACCTTCTTTCACCTTCACGTCTTTCACACATCGCCATAGCCAAGTACCTTCACACCTTCTTCCACCTCCACCTCCTTCACCCGTCCCCCATAGCCAAGTACCGTCACACCTTCTTCCACCTCCACCTCCTTCACCCATTCGCTGTAGTCAAGTACCTTCACACCATATTCCACCGTCACCTCCTTCGTTCATCCGTCATTGTTAAGTACCTTCACACCTTCTTCCACATTCACCTCCTTCACTCATCCGCCATAACCAAGTACCTTCACTCCCTCCTCCGCCTCCACCTCATTCACTCATCCAGCATATACAAAGTACCTTCACACCTTCTTCCACTTCCACCTCTTTCACACATCCACCATAGCAAAGTACCTTTACACATTCTTTCACCTCCACCTTCTTCACCCATCCACTATATCCAAGTACCTTCACACCTTTTCCGCTTCCACCTCTTTCACCTATCCACGATGGACGAGAACCTTCACACCTTCTTCACCCATCCACCATAACAAAGTACCTTTACTCCTTTTTCGACCTCCACCTCCGTCACCTATGCATGATAGCCAAGTACCTACACATTTTTTTCCACCTCCACCTTCTTCACCAATCCGCCATAGCCAAGTACCTTCACACCTTCTTACTCCTCCACCTCCTTCACTCATCCCCCATAGCAAAGTACCTTCACACATTCTTGCACGTCCACCTCCTTCATCCATCCACCATAGCCAAGTACATTCAAACATTCTTCCACCTCCACCTCCTTCACCCATCGACCGTATCCAAGTACCTTCAAACCGTCTTCCACCTTCACCTCCTTTACCCATCCATCACAGCCAAATACTTTCACACCTTCTTCAACCTTCACCTCCCTCACCCATCCACCATAGTCAATTACCTTCACACCTTCTTCCACCTTCACCTCCTTCACCTGTCCCCCATAGCGAAGTACCTTCACACCTTCTTCCACCTACACCTCCTTCACCCATCCACCTTAGTCAAGTATCATTGCACCTTCCTCCATCTCCACCTCCTTCATCCGCCCACCATAGCGAAGTACCTTTACACCTTTTTCCACCTCCACCTCCTTCACACCTTCTCCTATGTCCACCTCCTTCACCCATCCCTTGTAGTCGAGTACCTTCACACCTTATTCCACCTCTGCCTCCTTCACCCATCCACCATAGCCAAGAACCTTCGCACGTTTTTCCACCTCTATCTCCTTCACACCTTCTCCTATGTCGACCTCTACCTTCTTCACCCATCCACCATAAGGAAGTACCTTTACTCCTTTTTCGACCTCCACCTCCTTCACCTATGCATGATAACCAAGTACCTACACATTTTCTTCCACCTCCACCTTCTTCACCAATCCGCCACAGCCAAGTACCTTGACACCTACTTACTCCTTCACCTCCTTCACTCATCCTCAATAGCGAAGTACCTTCACACATTCTTGCACCTCCACCTCCTTCACCCATCCACCATAGCCAAGTACATTCAAACATTCTTCCACCTCCACCTCCTTCACCCATCTACCATATCCAAGTACCTTCAAACCGTCTTCCACCTTCACCTCCTTTACCCATCCATCATAGCCAAATACCTTCACACCTTCTTCAACCTTCACCTCCCTCACCCATCCAACTACCTTCACACCTTCTTCCACCTTCACCTCCTTCACCTGTCCCCCATAGCCAAGTACCTTCACACCTTTTTCCACCTACACCTCCTTCACCCATCCACCTTAGTCAAGTATCGTCGCAACTTCCTCCATCTCCACCTCCTTCATCCGCCTACCATAGCGAAGTACCTTTACACCTTTTTCCACCTCCACCTCCTTCACACCTTCTCCTATGTCCACCTCCTTCACCCATCCCTTGTAGTCAAGTACCTTCACACCTTATTCCACCTCTGCCTCCTTCACCCACCCACCATAGCCAAGAACCTTCGCACGTTTTTCCGCCTCTATCTCCTTCACCCATCCGCCATAGCCAAGTACCTTCACCCCTTCCTGCACCTCCACCTCCTTCACCCATCCAGCATAGGCAAAATACCTTCACACCTTCTTCCAACTCAATCTCTTTCAAAAATCCACCATAGCCACGTACCTTCACGTCTTCTTCCATCTCCACCTCCTTCACCAATCCGCCATAGCGAAGTACCTTCACACTTTCTTCTGCCTCCACCTCCTTCACTCATCCCCCATCACCAAGTACCTTCACACCTTCTTCCACCTTTACGTCCTTCACCCATCCACCATAGTTAAGTACCTTCACACCTTCTTCCACCTCCACCTCCTTCACCCATCCACCATAGCCAAGTATCTTCGCACCTTTTTCCACAAGTACCTTCACACCTTCTTCCACCTCCACATCCTTCACCCATCCACCATAGCCAAGTATCTTCGCACCTTTTTCCACTTCCACCTCCTTAACTCATACACCACAGCCAAGTACCTTTACACCTTCTTCCACCTCCACCTCCTTTACCCATCCACCATAGCCAGATACTTGCACACTTTCTTCCACCTCCACCTCCTTCACATATCCGCCATAGTTGAGTACCTTCACACCTTCTTTCACCTCCACCCCCTTCACCAATCCCCCATAGCCAAGCACCTTCAAACCTTCTTCCACCTCCACCTCCTTTACCCATCCATCATAGTCAAGTACCTTCACACCTTCTTCCACCTTCACCTCCTTCACCCATCCACCACAGCCAAGAATCTTCGCTCCTTCCACCTCCACCTCCACCTACTTCACCCGTCCCCCATAGCCAAGCACCTTCACACGTTCTTCCACCTCCACCTCCTTTGCCCACCCACCATGGCCCAGTACCTTTGCACCTTTTTTCACCACTACCTCCTTCACCCATCCACGATAGCCAAGTACCCTCACATCTTCTTCCACTTCCACCTCTTTCGCCATCCACCATAGCTAAGTACCCTCACACCTTCTTCCACCTCCACCTCCTTCACCCATCCACTATAGTGAAGTACCTTCACACATTCTTTCACCTCCACCTTCGTCACTCATCCACTATAACCAAGTACATTCACACTTTTTTTCGACCTCCACTTCCTTCAGTCATCCACCATAGCCAAGTACCTTCATACCTTGTTCCACCTCGACATCCTTCACCCATCGGTCATAGTCAAGTACCTTCACACCTTCTTCCACCTCCACCTCCTTGAACGATCCACTATAGCCAAGTGCCTTCGCACCTTGTTCACCTTCCTCCTCCCTCACCGATTCGTCATAGTCAAGTACCCTCATACATTCTTCCAACTCCACCTCCGTCATTAATCCAGCACAACCAAGTACATTTACATTTTTTTTCACCTCCACTTCCTTCAGTCATCCACCATAGCCAAGTACCTTCACACCTTCTTTCACCTCGACATCCTTCACCCATCCGCCATAGTCAAGTACCTTCACACCCTCCTCCACCTCCAACTCCTTCAACCATCTACTATAGCCAATTGCCTTCGCACCTTTTCAACTTCCCTCTCCCTCACCCATCAACCATAGCCAAGTACCTTCACACCTTCTTTCACCTCCACCTCCTTGACCCATCCACCATACCCAAGTACCTTCACCCCTTCTTCCATCTGAACCTCCTTCACCTATCCGCCATTACTCAAGTCCTTCAAACCTTCTTTCGCCTTCACACCCTTCACCCATCTCCTATAGCCAAGTACCTTCTAACATTTTTCCACCTCCACCACCTTCACCCATCCACCATAGTCAAATACCTTCACACCTTCTTCCATCTTCAACTCCTTCACCTATCCATCATAGGCAAGTACCTTGACACCTTCTTCCACGTCCACCTTCTTTGCCATCCACCATAGCCAAGTAAGTTCACACCTTCTATCACCTCCACCGCCTTCACCCATCGACCATAGCCAAGTACCTCCACACCTTCTTCAACGTCCACCTCCTTCGCCCATCCAGCATAGCAGAGTACCTTCACACCTTCTTCTACCTCCACCTTCACCCATCCACCATAGCAAAGTACCTTCACACCTGCTTCCACCTCCACCTCCTTCACCCATCCGGAACAGTCAAGTACCTTCACACCTTCTTCCACCTTCACCTATTTCGCCCATTCACCATAGCCAAGTACCTTTGCACCTTCTTCCACCTCCACCTCCTTCACCCATCCACTGTGGCCAGATACCTTCACACATTCTTCTACTTCCAGCTCTTTCGCTCATCCACCATAGCCCAGTACCTTCACATCTTCTTCCACCTCCACCTCCTTCACCCATCCACCATAGTCACGTACATTCACACCTTCTTCCACCTCCACCTCCGTTACTCATCCACCATAGCCAAGTAGATTCACATTTTTTTCCACCTCTAATTCCTTCAGTCATCTACCCTAGACCAGTACCTCCACACCTTCTTTCAACTCGACGTCCTTCACTCATTCGCCATAGTAAAGTACCTTCACACCTTCTTCCACCTCCACCTCCTTCACCCATCCACCATAGCCAAGTACCTTCACACCTTCTTCCACCTCCACTTCCTTCACCCATCCGCCATAGATCAGTATCTTCACACCTTCTTTCGCCTTCACCCCCTTCACCCATTCCAATAGTCAAGTACCTTCAAACCTTCTTCCACTTCAGCCTCCTTCACCCAGCCACCATAGTCAAGTACCTTCACACCTTCTTCCACCTTCACCTCCTTCACCCATCCACCACAACCAAGTATCTTCACACCATCCACCTTCACCTCCTTCACCCGTCCCCCACAGCCAATAACCTTCACACCTTCTTCCACCTCCACCTTCTTTACCTATCCACCATAGCTGAGTACCTTGACATCTTTTTCCACCTCCACCTCTTTCACCCATCCACGATAGCCAAGTGCATTTGCACCTTCTTCGACGTCTACCTCTTTTCCCCATCCACCATAGTCAAGTGCTTTCACACCTTCTTCCACCTCCATCTCCTTCACCCATCCACCATAGCAAATTCCCTTCACACCTTCTTCCACCTTCACTTCCTTCACCCATCCGCCATAGCTCAGTACCTTCACACCTTCTTTCGCCTTCACCCCGTTCACCCATCCCCAATAGCCAAGTACCTTCAAACCTTCTTCCAGTTCAGCCTCCTTCACCCATCCACCATGGTCAAGTACCTTCACACCTTCTTCCACCTTCACCTCCTTCACCCATCCACCAAAACCAAGTATCTTCACACCATCCACCTTCACCTCCTTCACCCGTCCCCCATAATCAATCACCTTCACACCTTTTTTCACCTCCACCTTCTTTACCTATCCACCATAGCCGAGTACCTTGACATCTTCTTCCACCTCCACCTCCTTCACCCATCCACCATAGTCAAGTACTTTCACACCTTCTTCCACCTCCATCTCCTTCCCCCATCCACCATAGCCAAGTACCTTCACACCTTCTTCCACCTCCACTTCCTCCACCCATCCGCCATAACTCAGTATTCTCACACCTTCTTTCACCTCCACACCCTTCACCCATCCCCCATAGCCAAGTACCTTCAAATCTTCTTCCACCTCAGCCTCCTTTACCCATCCGCCATAGTCAAGTACCTTCACACCTTCTTCCACCTTCTCCTCCTTCACCCATCCACCACAGCCAAGTATGCTCACACCATCCACATTCACCTTCTTCACCCGTCTCCCATAGCCAATCACCTTCACACCTACTTCCACCTCCTCCTTCCTTACCTATCCACCATAGTCGAGTACCTTGACATTTTCTTCCACCTCCACCTCCTCCAGCCCTCCACCATAGCCAAGTACCTTCACACCTTCTTCGACTTCTACCTCTTTCGCCCATCCACCATAGACAAGTACCTTCACACCTTCTTTCGCCTCCACCCCCTTCACTCATCCCCCATAGCCAAGTACCTTAAAACCTTCTTCGACCTCCACCTCCTTCACTCATCCACCATAGTCAAGTTACTTCACACCTTCTTCCACCTTCACCCATCCACCACAGCTAAATATCTTCACACCTTCCACCTCCACCTCCTTCACCTGTCCGCCATAGCCAAACAACTTCACACCTTCTTCCACCTACACCTTCTTTACCTATCCACCATAGCGACGTACCCTCACACCTTCTTCCACTTCCACCTTGTTTACCTATCCATCATAGTCGAGTACCTTGACATTTTATTCCACCTCCACCTTCTTCGCCCATCCACCATAGCCAAGAAAGTTCACACCTTCTATCACCTCTACCTCCTTCACCCATCCACCATAGCCAAGTACCTCCACACCGTCTTCCACTTCCACCCCTTCGCCCATCCACCATAGCCGAGTACCTTCACACCTTTTTCCATCTCCACCTTCACCCGTCCACCAAAGCCAAGTACCTTCACACTTGCTTCCATCTCCACCTCCTTCACCCATCCGACAGAGTCAAGTACCTTCACACCTTCTTCGACCTTCACAGCCTTCGCCCATTCACCATAGCTGAGTACCTTTGCACCTTCTTCCACCTACACCTCCTTCACCCATCCACTATAGCCAGATACCTTCACACCTTCTTCCACTTCCACATCTTTCGCCCATCCACCATAGCTAAGTACCTTCACATCTTCGTTCACCTCCACCTCCTTCACCTTTCCGCCATAGCAACGTACATTCAAACGTTCTTCCACCTCCACCTACGTCACCTATCCACCATAGCCAAATACATTCACATTTTTTCCCATTTCCACTTCCTTTAGTCTTCCACCATGGACAAGTACCCCCATACCGTCTTTCAACTTGACATCCATTACCCATTCGCCATAGTTAAGTACCTTCACACCTTCTTCGACCTCCACCTCCTTCACCTATCCATCATAGTTAAGTGCCTTCGCACTTTCTTCCGCTTCCACCTCCCTCACCCATCCACCATAGCAAAGTACCTTCACACCTTCTTCCACCTCCATCTCCTTCACCTATCCACCATAGCCAAGTATGTTCACACCTTCTTCCACCTCCACTTCCTTCACCCATCCGCCATAGCTCAGTACCTTCACACCTTCTTTCGCCTCCACCCACTTCACCCATCCCTCGTAGCTAAGTGCCTTCAAACCTTCTTCCACCTCAGCCTCCTTCACCCATCCACCGTAGTCAAGTACCTTCACACCTTTTTGACTTCCTTCACTTATCCACCACAACCAAATATCTTCACACTTGTACCTAAACACCTTCTTTCGCCTCAACCGCCTTGACCCATCCCCCATAGTTAAGTACCTTCAACCTCCACCTCCTTCACCCATCCACCATAGTCAAGTAACTTCACACCTTCTTCCACCTTCACCTGCTTCACCCATCCACCATAGCCAAGTATCTTCACACCTTCCATCTCCACCTCCTTCACTCGTCCCCCATAGCCAAGCACCCAACACCTTCTTCCACCTTCACCTTGATTACCTATCCACCATAGCGAAGTACCTTCACACCCTTTCCACCTCCACCTTGTTTACCTATCCATAATAGCCGAGTACCTTCCCTCCTTCTTCCACCTCCACCTTCTTCGCCCATCCACCATAGCCAAGTACCTGCACACCTTCTTCCACGTCCAAATCCTTCGCCCATCCACCATAGTCGAGTACCTTCACACCTTTTTCAACTTTCACCTTCACTCATCCACCATAGCCAAGTACCATCACACCTGCTTCCACCTCCACCTCCTTCACCCATCCGACGCAATCAAGAACCTTTACACCTTCTCCCACCTTCACCTTCTTTGCCCATTCACCACAGCTAAGTACCTTTGCACCTTCGTCCACCTAAACCTCCTTCACCCATCCACTGTAGCTAGATACCTTCACACCTTCTTTCACTTCCCCCCCTTTCACTCATCCACCATAGCCAAGTATCTTCACATTTTCTTCCACCTCCACCTCCTTCACCCATCCGCCATAGTCACGTACATTCACACCTTTTTTCACCTCCACCTCCATCACTCATCCACAATAGTCAATTACATTCACATTTTTTTCCACCTCCACTTCCTTTAGTTATCCAACATAGCCAAGTACCTCCACACCTTCTTTCAACTCGACGTCCTTCACCCATTCGCCATAGTCAAGTACCTTCACACCTTCTTCCACCTCCACCTCCTTCACCCATCCAGCATAGTCTCGTGCCTTTGCACCTTCTTCAGCTTCCACCTCCCTCACCCATCCACTATAGCTCAGTACCCTCACACCTTCTTTTGCCTCCACCCCTTTAACCCGTCCCCCACAACGAAGTACCTTCAAATCTTTTTCCACCTTAGCCTCCTTCACCCATCCACCATAGTCAAGTACCCTCACACCTTCTTCCACCTTCACCTTGTTCACCCATCCACCACACCCAAGTATCTTCACACCATCCACCTTCACCTCCTCCAGCCATCCCCCGTAGCCAATCACCTTCAAATCTTCTCCCACCTCCACCTTCTTTACTTCTCCACCATAGCCGAGTACCTTGATATCTTCTTCCACCTCCACCTCCTTCATCCATCCACCATAGCGAACTACCTTCACACCTTCTTCGACTTCTACTTCTTTCACGTATCCATCATAGCTAAGTACCTTCATACCTTTTTTCGCCTCCACCCCCTTCATCCATCAACCATTGCTAAGTACCTTCAAACCATTTTCGACTTCCATCTCCTTGACCCATCCACCATAGTCAAGTAACTTCACACCTTATTTCACCTTCATCTCCTTCACCCATCCACGACAGCCAAGTATTTTCACACCTTCCACCTCCACCTCCTTCACCCGTCCCTCATAGCCAAACAACTTAACACCTTCTTCTACCTACACCTTCTTTACCTATCCATTATAGCGAAGTACCTTCACACCCTCTTCCACCTTCACCTTGTTTACCTATCCTTCATAGCCGAGTACCTTCACACCTTCTTCCACCTCCACCTTCACCTGTCCACCATAGCCAAGTACCTTCACACGTGCTTCTACCTCCACCGTCTTCACCCATCCGGCACAATCAAGTACCTTCACACCTTCTTCCACCTTCACCTTCTTCCACCTTCACCTCCTTCGCCCATAGCTAAGTACCTTTGCACCGTCTTCCACCTACAGCTCCTTCACCCATCCACTGTAGCCAGATACCTTCAACCTTTTTCCACTTCCACCTCTTTCGTCTATCCACCATAGCCAAGTACCTTCACATCTTCTTCCACATCCACCTCCTTCACCCATCCGCCATAGTTACGTACATTCACACCTTTTTCCACCTCCACCTCCTTCACTAATGCACAATAGTCAAGTACATTCACATCTTTTTCCACCTCCAATCCTTCAGTCATCCACCATAGCCAAGTACCTCCACACCTTCTTTCAACTCGACGTTCTTCACTCATTCGACATAGTAAAGTACCTTCACAACTTCTTGCACATCCACCTCCTTCACCCATCCACCATATAAAAGTGTCGTCACACCTTCTTCCACTTCCACCTCCCTCACCCATCCACCATAGCAAAGTACCTTCATACCTTTCACCTCCATCTCCTTCACCCATCCACCATAGCCAAGTTCCTTCACACCTTCTTCCGCCTGCACTTCATTCACCCATCCACTATAGCTCAGTACCTTCACAGCTTCTTTCGCCTACACCCCCTTCACCCATCCCTCATAGCCAAGTACCTTCAAACCTTCTTCCACCTCAGCCTCCTTCACCCATCCACCATAGTCAAGTATCTTCACACCGTCTTCCATTTTCACCTCCTTCACTCATCCACCACAGTCAAGTATCTTCACACCTGCCACCTCCACCTCCTTCACCCGTCCCCCATAGCCAAACACCTTCACACCTTCTTCCACCTCCACCTTGTTTACCTATCCATCATAGCCAAGTACCTTGACGCCTTCTTCTACCTCCACCTTCTTCGCTCATCCACCACAACCGAGTACCTTCACACCTTCCATTACCTCCACCTCCTTCACCCATCGATCATAGCCAAGTACCTCTGCACCTTCTTGCACGTCCACCTCCTTCGCCCACCCACCTCCTTCGCCTATCCACTATAGCCGAGTACCTTGACACCTTCTTCTACCTCCACTTTCTTCAACCATCCACCATAGTCAAGTACCTTCACACCTTCTTCCACCTACACCTCCTTCGACCATTCACCATAGCTAAGTACCTTTGCACCTTCTTCCGCCTACATCTCCTTCACCCATCCACTTTTGCCAGATACCTTCACACCTTCTTCCACTTTCACCTCTTTCGCCCATCCACCATTGCCAAGAACCTTCACATCTTCTTCCACCTCCACCTCCTCCACTCATCCACCATAAGCAAATACCTTCACAACTTTTTTCATCTCACCTTCTTCACCCATCCGCCATATCTCAGGACCTTCACACCTTCTTTCGCCTCCACCGCCCTCACCATTCCCCATAGCCAAGTACCTTCAAACCTTCGTCCACCTTCACCTCCTTCACCCATTCACCATAGTTAAGTACCTTCACACCTTCTTGCACGTTCACCTCTTTCACCCATCCACCACACCCAAGTATCTTCACACCTTCCACCTCCACCTCCTTCACCCGTCCCCCATAGCCAAGCACCTTCACACCTTCTTCGACCTCCACCTTCTTTACCTATCCACCATAGCCAAGTACCTTCACACCTTCTTCTACCTCCAACTTTTTCACCCATCTACCATAGCCAAGTACCTTCACACCTTCTATCACCTCCACCTCCTTCACCCATCCACCATAGCGAAGTACATCGATAACTTCATTCACATCCGCCTTCTTCGTCTATCCACCTCCTTCGCCCATTCAGTAAAGTCAAGTACCTTCACAACTTCGCCCACCTTCACCTCCTTCACCCATCCACCACAACCAAGTATCTTCACAGCTTCCACCTCCAGCTCCTTCACTGGTCCCCCATCGCTAAACACCTTCACGCCTTCTTCCACCTCCACCTTCCTTACATATCCACCATAGCCAAGTAACTTCACACCTTTTTTCATCTTAACTTCCTTCGCCTATCCACCATAGCCAAGTATCTTCATACCTTCTATCACCTCCACCTCCTTCACTCATCCACCATAGCCAAGTATCTTCACACCTTCTTTCACGTCCACCTCCTTCGCCTATCCACTATTGCCGAGTACCTTCACACCTTCTTCCAGCTCCACCTTCACCCATCCACCATAGCCAAGTAGTCAAGTACCTTCATACCTTCTTCATTCTTCACCTCATTCGCCCATGCACCATAGCTAAGTACCTTTGCACCTTCTTCGACCCCACCTCCTTCACCCATCCACCATAGCCAAGTACCTTCACAATCTTTTCCACTTCCACCTCTTTCGTCCATCCACCATAGCCAAGTACCTTCACGCCTTCTACCTTCACCTCCTTCAGCCACCCGCCATAGTAAGTACCTTCACACCTTCTTCCACCTCCACCTCCTTCACTCATCCACTACATCCAAGTACTTCACACCTTCTTCCACCTCCACGTCTTTCACCCATCCGCCATAGTCAAGTCCTTTCACACCTTCTTCCACCTCCACCTCCTTCACCAATCCACCAAAGCCAAGTGTCTTCCCACCTTCTTCCACCTCCCGCTCCTTCACCCATCCTCCATAACCAAGTACCTTCACACTTTCTTCTATCTCTACCTCCTTCAACCATCCACCATAGTCAAGTACCTTCACACCTTCTTCCACATCCTCCTCCTTCACCCATCCGCCATAGCTCAGTACCTTCACACCTTCTTTCGCCTCCACGCCCTTCACCAATCCCCAATAGTCAAGTACCTCAAAACCTTCTTCCACCTCCACCTCCACCTCCTTCACCCATCCACCATAGTCAAGTACCTTCACACGTTCTTCCGGCTTCACCTCCTTCACCCATCCACCACAACCAAGTATCTTCACACCTTCCACATCCACCTCCTTCACCTGTCCCCCATAGCCAAGCACCTTCACACCTTCTTCGACCTCCAACTTCTTCACCTATCCAGCATAGCCAAGTACCTTCGCACCTTCTTCCACCTCCCCCTTCACTCATCCACCGTAGCCAACTAGTCAAGTACGTTCACGCCTTCTTCCAACTTCACATCCTTCGTCCATTCACCATAGCTAAGTACCTTTGCACCTTCTTCCACCTCCAACTCCTTCACCCATCCACATAGCCAAGTACCTTTAAACCTTGTTCCACTTCCATCTCTTTCACCCATGCACCATAACCAAGTACATTCAAACCTTCTTCCACCTCCACCTCCTCCACTCGGCTGCCATAATCAAGTACCTTTATAACTTCTTCCACCTCCACCTCCTTCACTCATCTACTATAGCCAAATGCGTTCACACCTTTTTCCACCTCCACGTCCTTCACCCATCCGCCATATTCAAGTACCTTTACACAATCTTCCAGTCCCACCTTCTTCACCCATTCACCAGAGTCAAGTACCTTCACACTTTCTTCCACCTTCACCTCCATCAGCCATCCACCACAACCAAGTATCTTTACACCTTCCACCTCCACCTCCTTCACCCCTCCCCCATAACCAAGCACCTTCACACCTTCTTCGACCTCCACCTTCTTCACCTATCCACCATAGCCAAATACCTTCACACCTTTTTCCACCTCCACCTCCTTCGCCCATCCACCATAGCCAAATACCTTCACATCTTCTATCACCTCCACCTCCGTCACCCATCCACCATAGTGAAGTATCTCTACAACTTCTTCCACGTCCACCTGCTTCGCCTATCCACCATAGCCGAGTACCTTCAAACGTTCTTCCACCTCCCCCTTCACCCATCCACCATAGCCAACTAGTCAAGTACCTTCACGCCGTCTTCCACCTTCACCTCCTTCGTCCATTCACCATACCTAAGTACCTTTGCACCTTCTTCCACCTCCACGTCCCTCACCAATCCACCATAGCCAAGTACCTTCACACCTTGTTCCACTTCCATCTCTTTTGTCCATCCACCATAACCCGGTACCTTCAAACCTTCTTCCACCTCCACCTCCTTCACCCTCACTCAAGTACTTTCACATCTTTTTTTACCTCCACCTTCTTCACTCATCCACCATAGCCAATTACGTTCACACCTTCGTCCAACTTCACGCCCTTCACCTATCCGTCATAGTCAAATACCTTCACACCGTTTTCCACCTCCACCTCCTTCACCCATCCATTATAGCCAAGTGCCTTCGCGCCTTCTTCCACTTCCACCTCCTTCACTCATCCACCATAGCCAACTACCTTCACACCTTCTTTCACCTCCACCTCCTTCACCCATCTGCCATAGTCAAGTACCTTCACACCTTCTTTCACCTCCGCCTCCTTCATCCATCCACCATAGCNCTTCACCCATCTGCCATAGTCAAGTACCTTCACACCTTCTTTCACCTCCGCCTCCTTCATCCATCCACCATAGCCAAGTACCTTCATACCTTCTTCCACCTCCACCTCCTTCACCCATCTGTCATAGCTCTGTACCTTCACACCTTCTCTCGCCTCCACCCCCTTCACCCATCCTCCATAGCCAAGTACCTTTACACCTTCTTCCACCTCCACCTCCTTCACATAACCACCATAGCCAAATACCTTCACACAATTTTGCACATTCGCCTCCTTCACCCATTGTGGCATACTGCGTAGCCACACGGGCGTGCAGGGCCCGTCCCGCATTCTCAGCCTAAAAGCCTAGAAATAAGGGCTTACAGGCCCCTTTCCTTTCAGCCTGAAAACTGAAAACGAGGGCCTGCAGGCCCTATTTCGTTTTCAGCCTAAAACAGGGTTTTTCAGCCCTGAGGCTTTTCAGCCTGAAACGGAGGGCCACTTTCGGGCCCTCATAAGATCGACCTACCCTAACACTCAGGCACAAAACCAGGGTTTCGGGAACAGGCTATCTTTAGCCTGTTCCCACGACAGCCTCAAGCAGGAGCTGCAGCGGCAGCCCCTGACTCCCTTCGACATTGGCAAGAGCAGCCTCCTTGACTGCCTCACCCTGCAGTCAGGAGGCAGGCCGAGTAGTACATAGGGAGTTCCCATGCACTTCACGGGCAGGTAGTTGGACAGAAGGCAGGAGTAGTCTTCAGGATTTCGGCCGCAGCACTCAGGAGGAGCGCTGCAGGAGTAGCTTAGCGCTAGCAGTAGTCTTCAGCGCTGGGCGCTAGTAGCCATAGCAGTAGTCTTCAACGCTGGGCGCTAGAAGGTGGTAGTAGTAGAGTTGGGAGAGATGGCTGGCGAAGGCCGGTGGGACTTACCTGTGGTGCCATAGCTCCAGCTCCATCTTCGAGGTACCTACATCAAGGCGCCAACTTCACAGGTTAGTACCGGACAGGGAGAGAGAGAGAGAGAGTTCTTCTTCTTCCTCTTTTAAGTCCACCATCTCTTCTTCCCCTGTCACCACCTGACTTCTCAGTATCAGCGGACTACTACAGAGAGAGAGAGTTGTGACTTGAGACTTGACGACATTGGATCCAAACTCGACATTGGGATTCAGACATTTTGACGAGGGACTATTTGGGCCTGTGCCGAAGACTTGGTGTTGACGACATTCCCATCTTCCCCTCTTCTTCATCTAACCCCCCTCTTCTTCGTCTGTGTATGGTTGGGGCTGGCGCATTCTTCGTGTGTAAGCGCCAGACCCCTTCACACCATGGAATAATGATGATGATGTATGTTCAGGGCTGCATTGCAATATTGATTGTTCGGATCATTGGTATCTAAGTTTTCCGCTGCGCTATCTTGTTCTTTGTTAGAGAGGTCGGTTCTTGTTCTGGTCTGCACCTTTACAGTATGCAACACCCATCCACCATAGCCAAGCATCTTGATACCTTCTACCTCCACCAACTCCACCCATCCCCCATAGCCAACCACCTTCACACCTCCTTGACCCATCCACCATACCCAAGTATATTCACACCTTCTTCCACCTCCGTTTCCTTCACCCAGCCAAAATAGTCAATTACCTTCACTTCTTTTTTCATCTCCACCTCCTTCACCTGTCCACCATAACCAAGCGCCTTCACGCCTTCTTCCACCTCCACCTACTTCACTAATTCACCATAGCCAAGTACCTTCGCACCTTCTTTCATCTCCACCTCCATCATAGCCAAGTACTTTCGCCCCTTCCTCCAACTCCACCTCCTTCCTCCATCCACCGTAGCCAAGTACCCTCACACCTGCCGCCCCCAGCTTATTAATCTATCCACAGTAACCAAATACCTTCACACCTTCTTCTACCTTCACCTCATTCGCCCATTCACCATAGCCAAGTACCTTCATACCTTCTTCCACCTCCACCTCCCTCGCTCATCCACCAAAGCCAAGTACCTCCACAACTTCTTCCACGTCCTCCTTTTTCGCCCATCCACCTCCTTCGCCTATCCACCATAGCTGAGTACCTTTACACCTTCTTCCACCCCCACCTTCACCCATCCACCATAACCAAGTACCTTCACACCTTCTTTCGTCTCCAACTCCACCCATCCTCCTTAGTCAAGTATCTTCACACCTTCTTCCACCTTCACCTCCTTTGCCCATTCACCATAGCAATTTACCTTTGCACATTCTTCCACCTCTACCTCTTTCACCCGTTCACCATAGCGAAGTACCTTCATACCTTCTTCCACTTCCACCTCTTTCCCCCATCCACTATAGCCAAGTAGCTTCACACCTTCTTTCACCTCCACCTCCTTCACTCATCCACTATAGCCAAGTACCTTCGCACCTTCTTCCACCTCCACCTCCTTCACCCATCCGCCATAGTCAAGTACCTTCACACCTTCTTCCACCTCCACCTCTTTCGCTCATCCACCATCGCCAAGTACCTTCACACCTTGTTCCACCTACACCTCCTTCACCCATCCGCCATAGCCAATTACCTTCACACCTTCTTGCACCTTCACCTCCTTCACCCATCGTCCATAGTAAAGTACCTTCACACCTTGTTCCACCTCCACCCCCTTCATTCATCAAGCATTGCCAAGTATCTTCGCACCTTCTTCCATTTCCACCTCCTTCACCCATCCACCATAGCCAAGTACCTTCCCACCTTCTTCCACCTCTACCTCATTCACCCATCCACCATAGCCAAGTACCTTCACCTTCTTCCATCTCCACCACCTTCACCCATCCGCCAGAGCTAAGTACCTTCACACCTTCTCTCGCTTTCAACCCCTTCACTCATTCCCCATTACCAAGTACCTTCACACCTTCTTCAACCTCCACCTCCTTCACACATCCACAATAGCCAAGTCGCTTCACACATCCACCATAGCCAAGTATCTTCACACCTTCCACCTTTACCTCCTTCACCCGTCCCTCATAGCCAAGCACCTTCACACGTTCTTCCACCTTCACCTCCTTCACTCATCCACCATAGCCAAATACCTTCACACCTTCTTCCACCTCCACCTCCTTCACCCATCCGCCATAGTCAAGTACCTTCACACCCTCTTCCAATTCCCCCTCCTTCACCCATCCTCCAAAGTGAAGTACCTTAACACCTTCTTCCACCCTTTTACATTCTTCACCAATCCGCCATAGTCAAGTACCTTCATACCTTCTTTCACATCCACCTCCTTCACCTATCCACCATAGCCAAGTACCTTCGCACGTTGTTCCACTTCCACCTCGTTCAGGCATCCACCATAGTCAAGTACCTTCACACCTTCTTCCACCTCCACGTCCTTCACCCATCCACCATAGCCAAGTACCTTCACACCTTCTTTTACGTCCACATCCTTCACCCATCTGCCAGAGCTCAGTACCTTCACACTTTCTTTCGCCTCCACCCCATTTCAGTCATCCCACATAGCGAAGTACCTTCAAATATTTTTCCACTTCCACCTCCTTCACGTATCCACCACAGTCAAGTACCTTCACACCTTCTTCCACCTTCGCCTCCTTCACCCATCCACCATAGCCAAGTATCTTCATACCTTCCAACCCCACCTTCTTCACCCGTCCCCCATAGCAAAGCACCTTCAAGCAATCTTCCACCTCCACCTCCTTCACACATCCAACATAGGCAAGTACCTTCACACCTCCTTCACCCATTCGCCAACACCAAGTACCTTCGCGTCTTCTTCCACTTCCATTTTTTTTCACCCATCCACCATAACCGAGTAGCTTCACACTTTCTTCCACCACCTCCTTCACCCATCCACCATAGCCAAGTACCTTCACCCCTTCTTCCACCTTCACCTCCTTCACTCATCCGTCAAAGCTCAATACCTTCACACTTTCTTTCGCCTCCGCCCCCTTCACCCATTCCTAATAGCCAAGTACCTTCACACCTTCTTCTCTCACCACCTCCTTCACGCATCCACTTTAACCACGTACCTTCACACCTTCTTTCACCTTCACCTCCTTCACCCATTCACCATAGCCAAGTATCTTCATTCCTTCCACCTCCACACCCGTCACCCATCCCCCACAGCCAAGTACCTTCAAACCTTCTTCCACCTCCACCTCCTTTACTCATCCACCATAGTTAAATACCTTCACACCTTCTTCCACCTTCACCTCCTTCAATCATCCACCATAGTCAAGTATCTTCGCACCTTTCACCTCCACCTCCTTCACCTGTCCCCCATAGCCTAGCACCTTCACACCTTCTTCCATGTCCACCTCCTTCACCCATTCACCATATCCAAGTACCTTCACACCTTCTTCCACCTCCACCTCCTTCACCCATCCACCATAGCCAAGAACCTTCAGACCTTCTTTCACTTGCACCTCGTTCAGTCATCCCCCATAGACAAGTACCTTCACCCCTTCTTCCGCCTCCACCTCGTTCACCCATCCCCCATAATGAAGTATCTTCACGCCTTCTTCCACCTCCACCTCGTTCACCCATCCCCCATAATGAAGTACCTTCACGCCTTCTTCCACCTCCACCTCCTTCACCCACCCACAATGGCCAAGTACCTTCACTCCTTCTTTCATCCCCACCGCCTTCACCCATCCACCATAACCAAGCACCTTCACGGTTTCTTCCACCTCCACCTCCTTCACCCATCCACCATAGCCAAGTACGTTCGCACTTTCTTCAACCTATACCTCCTTTACCCATCCACTATAGCCAAGTACCTTCGCACCTTCCTCCACCTCGAGCTCCTTCACCCCTTCACCGTAGCCAAGTACCTTCACACATTCTTCCACCTACACCTTCTTCGCTCATCCACCATAGCAAGGTACCTTCACACCTTCTTGCCCCACCACCTGCTGCATCCATACACCATAGTCAGATACCTTCACACCTTCTTTCAGCTCCATCTTCTTCACCCGTATGTCATAGTCAAGTAATTGACACCTTCTTCGACCTCTACCTCCTTTGCCCATCCACTATAGCCAAGTACCTTCACACCATCTTCCACCTCCACCTCCACCTCCTTGACAAATCCACCATAGCCAAGTATCTTCACACCTTCTTCCATCTCCACTTCCTTCACGCAGCCAAAATAGTCAATTACCTCGACTCCTTTTTTCATCTCCACCTCCTTCACCTATCCACCATAACCAAGCACCTTCACGCTGTCGGGGCAGAAATCCTTACAAGGGTATCTGCCGGTGTTTTGACGGCTCGCGGGAAGGCACCGTTCTATCCGTAAATTGACGGGGCGTTGGTGAGCGAGAGAGGGACAAACTAAAGATAATCCATCACGACGCGGCAAAAGATTTCATGGGTATCCCAACCCCCTATACACATTTACATTTCTTTTCTTATCGGGTATTGACCCCTCGTGTGTCCTTTCTAAATCTGTTACTCAAAGTCTAGGGTTGGGCACCAAGTGGCTGTTAGAAGGGCATTTGACGCTGCAAAGATGTACCGCGGCAGGAGGCCCCGACGACGGGA